AATGGTAACGGATGAATTCGTTTGGGAATACTGCTCAAATGATCATCCATTATCATATCATTCCTCCGAGTGTTTTTATGGAATGGAATGTAGTCAGCAGAACAATGACCAGAAGTCCTCACCCTAATCCCCAGAACCTGTGAACATGTTAGGTGACATAACAAAGGGGAATTAAGTTCGCTGACCAGCTGATCTTCCAATAGGGATGTTGTTCTGGGTTATCCAGACAGGCTAGACATAGTGATAAATGTCCTTAAAAGTGGACAACAGAGGGACGCCTGGGTGGCTCAGTCATTAAGCGTCTGCCTTCAGCTCAGGTTGTGATCCCAGGGTCCTGGGTTCTAGCCCCACATCGGGCTCCCTGCTCTGTGGGAAGCCTGCTTCTCCCTCTCCCACTCCCCCTGCTCGTGTTCCCTCTCTCATTGTGTCTCTCTCTGTCATATAAATAAAATCTTTAAAAAAAGAAAAAGTGGACAACACAATGAGAGGAGTATGTTCTATAGAAGAAAGGCACAGAGAAATACGATGTTGTTGGCTTTGAAGATACAGGAAGATGAACAAGCCGAAGAATTGGTGGCTTCTAGAAAGGGTAAGGAAATGGATTATCTCCTAGAGCTACAGAAAGGAATACAGTCCTGTGGATGCCTTGATTTTAGCCCAGCAAGACCTTGTCATACTTCTGTCTCACAGAACTGGAAGATACTCGGCTTTTGTTGTGTAAGGGGTAAAGTGTATGGTGATTTATTATAGCGGCAATAAGAAACTAAAAAACTGAGTAATGTTCCATTTCCTGAATCAGCATATGCAATTAAATGCAACTAAATGCCATATGGGAGAAGAAGAGGGGCCAGTGATCCCATCGGTGTTGGCCCCTTGCTGTGTGGAGCTGTCAGAGGCCACCAACAATCCCTCTCCAGGCATTGTTGGTGATTTGCCAAATCCCCACAACCTAGCCCTTGAATATTCAGAAGTTGGGAGTTTCAGATCATCTTCTTGATTTCTATGAAGATTTTAGTGAAAATGCAGAAAACATAAAAGCATGTTGGACATCTTATCTGAATACAAACTAGACATTGTTCATCTATCCACATGTTCAGCAGACAACCAGATGTAAATTCTGGAAAATTCCATTCAGCCTATTAACTTCTTTCCAAAGCAAATGAAAAGAGCTCACCCGCTAAATGGATGGCACGTCATGCACACCACACTGCACAAAACCGTGGGATTTGCTCACCTGTGATGTTGGGTCTTTTTTTCTTTCTTTTTTTGGGGGGGTAGAGAGAGAAAAAGAAAGTGGGGGGTGGGCAGAGAGAGAGGGAGCAAGGGAATCTTTTTTTTTTTTTAAGATTTTTATTTATTTATTTGACAGATCACAAGTAAGCAGAAAGGCAGGCAGAGACTGAAGGGAAGCAGGCTCCCCACTGAGCAAAGAGCACGATGTGGGGCTCGATTCCAGGACCCTGAGATCATGACCTGAGCTGAAGGCAGAGGCTTAACCCACTGAGCCACCCAAGTGCCCCGAGAGAGGGAATCTTAAGCAGACTCCCCACTGAGCATGGAGCCCAACTCAGCTCAATCCCATGACCCCAAAATCAGGACCGGAGCCAAAACCAAGAGTCAGACATTTGCTCTACCAAGTCACCCAGGAGGCACTCCCAAGGTCTTTCTTAATAGTTTTTAGTCTCCTTTCCTATTCCTCAAAAAGTAGAGAAGCACTTTATAAAAATGATGACTTTGTAGAAATGGAAGAAGGTGTGTTGCTTAAACATTTACCTCCAAGATGGCGGTTATCACTGTCAGCTCTAAAGAAGATATTTAAAATGTGGGCCTGCCATAAAATTGTATGTTTAATGTGTGGCATAAGAAGAATGTCCTCTGGTTTTGAAATGCATTGAGGATGAGAGTGGAAGAAAGGGATTACAGTAGAATTACAAGAAAAGGTATGGGGCGTCTGGGTGGTTCAGGTCAGGATCCCAGGGTCCTAGGATGGAACCCCACATCAGGCTCCCTGTTCAGTGGGAAGACTGCTTCTCCCTCTCCCACTCCCCCTGCTTGTGCTGCTCTCGATGTCACTCTCTCTGTCAAATAAATAAATGAAATCTTAAAAAAAATAATTAAAAAAAAAAAGGTATACCCTGTTTCTCCAACACCGTTTCAGGATCTTCGAAGAGGCCACAGTGAGCCTAAAGAAGGATGAAGTGACTGACTGCCCCTTGGTTGCAGGTTATGACAAAAATTCATACAGTGGGGGCGCCTGGGTGGCTCAGTGGGTTAAAGCCTCTGCCTTCGGCCCAGGTCATGATCCCAGGGTTCTGGGATCGAGCCCCACATCGGGCTCTCTGCTCAGCAGGGAGCCTGCTTCCCTTCCTCTCTCTCTGCCTGCCTCTCTGCCTGCTTGTGATCTCTGCCTGTCAAATAAATAAATAAAATCTTTAAAAAAAAAATTCATACAGTGAAAATAGGGGTTACTTTTTTTTTTTGAAATAAGACAGCTTCAGTACTTTAAAAAAAAAAAAGTCACCAGAAAATGGCAGTCATGCCCAACAAGACATTCATTCTCAGTCTCTGTATCTGGGATCCAACATTATTATCCCAAGTTCAAATGACCTCTGTGCTTTAAGGCCATTTCCCTGAGAAAGAGAGGCTGGAGTCACGACGGCGTGCACTGTACTTCAGAGCCTTTTAAGGTAATGGCCACTTCAGTCACGGCCGGACTACCCCATCCACTCTTGTGGCAAAGGACCCGGCTGACTGACAAAATGCCTTGGCCACTAAAAGGTTTGCAGACTGAGTACCTTCGGACAGCTTTGGAGGGCTGGAAGTGAATTCCTGCAAATCTAAAAACCTGTGAGCTCTAGAGAGACCCTGAGGACTCCATGACCCGCGGCTGTTGCTGAGAGGATGTTTTCGCCTGGTGGCCTCCCAAGGGCTGACACAGGAATCGGTGAGAAGTGGGCTTGGTACGAGCAGAGCTGCAGGCCCAAGTGGGGCTCACAGTTGTCAGTGTGTGGTTTTGTTGCTACCTCAACAAAAAGAAGGGCGTCCGGAGGCTGGGGCAGTCCAGGGCACACTGTGCACCCCCTAAACTTAGGCCATGTTATGTGTCATTTATAGCTCAATAAAGCTGGGGAAATAAATACATGAATAAATAGAAATATGTTTATTGAATCAATCGTATTGTATCAATCTTATCGTACTTGTATTTTTTTCTTTAAATCTTACATTTATGTATCTTCAGCACACATGATAATAAAGCCTACAACGTTGGAATAGCCAATGAAGACTTTTTTTAAAAGTCCAAATAAATTGCCACAAGAAAGAGATATTATAAAATATATTATCAGATACATAAAAACATTATTAAATATAAGATATATAAAAGAAACACAGGGTGCCTGGGTGGCTCAGTCAGTTAAGCATCTGCCTTTGGCTCGGGTCATGATCCCAGGGTCCTGGGATCGAGTCCTGCATCAGGCTCCCTGCTCAGCAGGAAGCCTGCTTCTCCCTCTCCCACTCCCTCAGCTTGTGTTCCCTCTCTCACTGTCTCTCTCTCTCTCTCTCTCTGTGTCAAATACATAAGTAAATAAAATCTAAAAAAAGAAAAGAAACAAAATGTTTTATATAAAAATAAAAACATCACAAAATATAAAACATTATAAAATATAAAAATAAAATTAGTTCTATTATGAATTACTACTAATTGCTGCCATTAAGTAGTTCAATTATTACTGTTTCAATACTAGCATTGATGTAACAGAGAAGTAAAAAACACTGAATGAGACATGCATTTCAAATAAACATTCCTTTTTCTTATTTTGGCTTGCACTTTCAATTTTCTCCAGCTTTACTGAGATAGAGTTGTCATAATCATCTTTCATATTTTTTTTAAAGATTTTATTTATTTATTTGTCAGAGAGAGAGAGAAAGAGCGCGAGAGTGAGCACAAGCAGATAGAATGGCAGGCAGAGGCAGAGGGAGAAGCAGGCTCCCTGCTGAGCAAGGAGCCCGATGTGGGACTCGATCCCAAGACGCTGGGATCATGACCTGAGCCGAAGGCAGCGGCTAAACCCACTGAGCCACCCAGGCGTCCCATCTTTCATATTTTTATATTAAAACAATGACACGGGCGCCTGAGTGGCTCAGTGGGTTAAAGCCTCCGCCTTCGGCTCAGGTCGTTATCCCAGGGTCCTGGGATCGAGCCCCACATCGGGCTCTCTGCTTGGCAGGGAGCCTGCTTCCCTTCCTCTCTCTCTGCCTGCCTCTCTGTCTATTTGTGATCTCTGTCTGTCAAATAAATAAATAAAATCTTAAAAAAAAAACCAATAACATATCAGCATAGAACTTTTATTAGGGTATTGGGGTCGTGTGTGGCAGTGTCTGGGTTGGCTAACACGTTGGTCATGGCAGGCTGAGTCTTACCCATGGTCCCATGCACCCAGAAACCCCCAGACCAGACCACAGAATGGCATGGTTCTAATAAAGGTCAGCAGGGAGCAAGGTGGGACCCCCCCTCCCACTACTCTTGGGCTCACCATACCTGAAGGACAGCTCTTGGGATACCCTTGGGCTTGCTCTTCTGTGCCACTGGCATGGGAATTCCAGGATATCGTGGTGCAGAGAGGGAAGGCCCACCTGGGAGCTCAGGGTGGTCTCTGCTGCTTCCCAATGAGCTTGACGTCTTCCCCCCAAAGGCCCCCTATTGGCTCCATCACTCACTGGTCTGGGCAGGCCCTTGCTCCAACAAAGCTCAAATGTCAATGGTCGCAGACACAGAAATCCCTGGCAACTCCCCACCTAAGCAGACATAAGGACCTGCTTCCCACGGTCCCGGCCAGCTCCCTGCATTGAGGATGGCCTGGCGTGGTTGGGGGCGGGTGAGGGGCGGTGGCGGGGCCCAGACTGAGGCAGCCCAGGAACTTAGCTTGACAGTAACACTTCCGTGAACACCAGTTCTGAACGTGGGAGAGACTGGAAGTCACTCAGAGACTGGCCACTTTTACCTTTGAAGCAGACAGGACCCATTTCTTGTTGTTGCTAATGGCAACGTCTGTCACCCAGTCACTATGGCCCTGAAGAAAAATAGAATTTTTAACAAGTGCCTAGAGGAAAAACCTTGGTAAGCACAACAAAGACAAAAAGGCAAAGTCAGGACCCCAGGGATGCCTGCGTTTAAGAGCAACTGATTGCGCTTTCCGGAAGTCACCCGTGACACGTAACACGAAGTGTAAAGGGTGTCGATGCACGTGTGCGTGACGGCACTGCGCTCTTTAAAACAGAACTCCAGTGTTGAGCAGGATGGAAGAAGAGTGACTATATTCCCAGCTGGCCCCAGAGCACCTCTTGCAAGCTTTCGTTTGCCTTCTCTGTTCTAGGAAATAACCACTCGGAGGTCCTCCTGGAGAGGGGGCTTTTGCTTCAAGTCGCCGCAAACCTATCCCCTGTGGCCTGAGCAAATGGGGGGTTATTTTCCTCAGGTAAAAAAGGAGCTCAGAGGAGAGAGATGCTTAATGACGTCAGGGCTCTGCGTCAGCATCTGGACCATTCTTTAATCTTAGGGAAAGAGATGGAAGGCGAGCAAGTGTGGTATGGTAGGAGGAAGGAGAGTAGGAGAGAAGTGAAACTGCTGTGCGTAACAAAGGATGGGAGCTTGAGGGACCAAGATGTATGGATGCAAGCCAAGCTTTCGCAGCCAAACCGTGAGATCACAAGACCAGGGAGGCTGCGGGAATCTTGGGGTAGGGGGTACTTGGCACGGAGGTGCTGCTGTAGCCAGTCCTGGGACTGCCTAACCTCTCTGGGTTCCTGCCAAGTTGGGACAATCCATCCCGTCATCATAGAGACACTCTGAGTCGAGTCTCCTCTAACTTGTAGGCAAAAGCACTCAGAGACCCACCATTCTGGAGCCCAGAGCTATCTGTGCAGGCCTCCTTATGGCATTCATCTTTCTGCAGAGTAATTTCTACTGTTCTTAGACACTTTTCCACTTCTGAGTTTTTTGTTGTTCCCTCTGCCTAGAATGCCCTTCCCGCGTTCCTCATTCACTCAGTCTTTCCTTGCCTTCAAGTTCTCAGCTCAAACACCACCTTGTCCAAGAAGCCCTCCCTGCCCAACCACTGTGGATTAGTCCTTGGGGTCTATCTCTTTCACATCACCCTGTTGTGATTTCTCTGTTTCACTCATCATGGTTAATGATCTGCTTGTTGGTTTCCTGTCTGTTTTTCCCCACAGAGGTGTCAGCTCCAATGGGGACATCTAGGTCTGTCTCACCCACTACTGTATCCCCAGCACCCAGCACCCAGCATGGACCCTCTATCTGATGTTGACATCGGTACCTTCAAGGAGATCTTCTGGTAGCCTTCTCCTACATCCCAGATAGCCACAGTCCTGTCGAACCCTCCAGACACGAGAACAGAGGCTACAACACAAAATGATAACATTTCAGAGAAGCGGGGGGTCATCTTCCCCCTGCCAAGTGCTCCCCCTTTCAGCAAGGTCAAAGCAGGCTGAGGTTGCATTGGTGTGGTGACACCCTGGTTCAGTCCAAGGACACTCCAACCCCTTCCTAGGGTGGCTCGATGACCCCCAGCCAGTTACAGTCTATTCTCATTATTCACAGCAGTGACGTTCCATAAAGCCACCACAGATGCTGAATTAGACAATGGTGAACAATTTCTCCTAGAGGACCTAGCGGGTGAGGTTCCTAGGAGCCTCTCTGGTCCCAACTTTTCATTAATCGATCAATACATAACCTCGTTTTAGATCTCCTTCTGTTGAAACACACTGTAGTTGACACACAGTGTTTATTCATCAACGTAAATTCACGGCCATCAGTGCAGGAGCTGACGCCTGAACCGGGCTTATCCAATACCTGTGCTTTCCCTGTAAGCCATGTCACCACCTTCTCGCGCTGAGGAGCACCAGACAGCAAGCACTCCGGCCCTGTGCTTGGGGGCTCTTTAAAGAACAGAGTTACCAACCAAGTCCACCAAATGCAAAATAACTGGGTATTCAAGGGCCCGCAAAATGGACACTTACCAGAAAGGGAGCTGGAACAAGAAGGCAGAGGGCCGCCTTGTTCAACCGCAGCTGGGAGTGTGTGGGTAGGCCAAATCACACTCTTCGCTGCCCTGCGTGTGTCCACAGCCCCTGCCACATCACAAAAGTGCCACAAATGCTGATTTTAGGGTTACGAATAAATTTTATCCAGTATGGTAATTCACAAATGCAGAATGTGTGAATAAGGATAATGGCCAGTATACAACTCTGAACCCCAAAAACACAAGGACAGAAACTGGTGGGATGCCCCTGAATGGGGTCTAACTCACAGAGACTGCTTGTGAAGAGGTAAAGTTGTTCAAAAACACCCTAGCATTTCGCAAGCCAGGCTCTGATTGCTTCTGTACTGGCTGGGGGCCCGTGATACACACACACAGAGCGAGCCCCGCTTCCCAGGAGAATGGAGGAGGAAAGCCATTGGCTCCTGAGTGTCAGGGACCGTCACTTCCCTCACTGAGGCTAGTGGCCTGAGGCCACTTCCTGTCATCACCTCTGTTGGCATCCATGCCCCTTCATTTGTCAACAATGCCCTCACTTCCCATGAGGAAACACCCCACACAATCCTCTCATTCCCTCTGGTTGGAGGGTACTAGTTCAGAGGGGTGGGCAAGTCACTCAAACCTAGCCAATCAGAGCCTTTCATCCTCTGGTAAAGTGATTGGTTCTGAGGTAGGCGTGTGTCCCAAGCTGAGCCAATGAAGCACTGTCCTGGGACTTGCACTAGTACCAAGGAAAAGAAGGGTCTCTCTTTCGCCAGGACTGGCTCCCTAACAGCACTGTCTTGAGTGTCTGGACCCAGCCACACCTGAAGTGAGATCTGCTCTTGGACTTCCCCATTCCAGGGGCTAGTAAATATCTTTGGCTGCTAAGCCACGTTAAGCTGAGTCTCTGCTACTTGCAAACTTCTGCCTATTAATGTCCGTCCTGGCTTGTGTGTTCTCATAGAAAACAAATCCACCCTCACCATTGGTGAGGAATTGCCTCTCTTTATGATGGCAAGTCCAGGGGAACGGAACACAAGATCTGCCCCAGCACTCCCATAGGTGTGAAAACTTTCTATGTGTTCATTACTCACTATCTCTGGAAAAGTGGCAGGAGCTCACAGATCCTTCATGGCCCTTCATCAGAGTCACACAGGCTCCAGAGTTCCGAAACTCCCCCGTATGGATATTCCATATTTTTAAGGTTTTATCCCAGGAGCTTGTACACAGGAAATGGCCACTGAAGGTAAAACAGCAGTTTGAGATTGCACCAGAATGTGCCCTGAAACACAGATGGGAGGGTGCATACATCAGCACCTCATGCCTGGAGAATCTGGGGACAGAGCTGAGGTGAGGGGCACTGGAGCTGACCTGGTCCCCTATGACCTAATGGACATCATTCCTTTGATCACTGCCTACCATGGTCCAAATCTTTTTTTTCCCCATTTTATAAAAATTTAAATTCTAGTTAGTTAACATATAGTGTAATATTGGTTTCAGGAGCAGAATCTGGTGGTTCATTACTTACATACAACACCCAGTGCTCAGCACAGCAAGTGTCTTCCTTTATGCCCATCACCCATTTGGTCCACCCCCCCCCACTCACCTCCCTCTATCAACCCTCAGTTTGTTAACAGTCTCTTACGGTTTGCATCCCTCTTTCCTCTCTCTTTTTCCCCTCTTCCCCTTTGCTCATCTGTTTTGATTCCTAAATTCCACATATGAGTGAAATCATAAGGTATTTGTCTTTCTCAGACTGACTTATCTCACTTAGCATAATACACTCTAGCTCCATCCATGTCATCACAAATGGCAAGATTTCTTTCTTTTTGATGGCTGAGTAAGATTCCATTGTATATATATTATCAAGGTCCAGATCTTAATTGCTCTGACTAAGCAATATTCTAGGATTTCTCAATCATGGCAACACTGACATTTGTGCTACCCACAATTCTTTGTGGTAGGGGGTTGTCCCATACACTGTAGGATGTTGAGCAGTGTCTACCAGATGCCGGCAGCACCTACACTCAGCTACGACAACTAAAAATACCTCCAGATATTGGCAAATCGTCCACTGGGGGACAAAACTGCCCCTGGTTAAGAACCACTGCACTACTTAGAGCTACCTGAGACTTGAGGGAAAGGGGCATCAGAAAATCTATTAGCAGTGGTCAACAGAAAAACAGCCCTTAGGGTCTCGTCCTGGGTCACACTTTCAAAATGGGTTTCTCCTGCTCACGCTCCACCTCCTTTCTCCCCAATACCTGGAAGCCCCTCCTTCCCCCACCCTTCTCTCACCACCTTCTCCCAGTGCCCTTGTCTTTTCTCTCCCTCTCCCTTCATCTGTCTTCAGTCATTAAAGCATATTTGAATGCTGTGCATTTAGTTAAGTTTTTACTTATCCATTCTCAATTTTTTTTAAAAGACTTTATTTATTTGACAGACCGAGATCACAAGTAGGCAGAGAGGCAGGCAGAGAGAGAGGAGGAAGGAGGCTCCCCGCGGAACAGAGAGCCCGACGTGGGGCTCGATCCCAGCACCCTGGGATCATGACCTGAACTGAAGGCAGAGGCTTTAACCACTGAGCCACCCAAGCGCCCTCCATTCTCAATTTTTATGTCTTTTTTTTCTTAATCTGTCAGAATTTGGCTGTTTTTGTTTTCTTTGTGCTCCTCCAAGTATTTCCCCCATGAGTTTCATCTTCCATTATAAACAGTTTTCAAGAAAACCTATGAACATAGATGAGCATCTCCGAGTGGCCTGGATCATAAAATCAGTCATTTTACTTGAAGGAAAGCTTGAACAAAACTGTTTTTTCTAGAGCTCAGGCCAGAGTTTTCAACTCTGCTTTCGTTCTTTGTAGTGCACAGACTAAGCGCAAAGGAGAAGAAATGTCAACTTCCCAAGGTTAGGAAAGTCAAACTTTCCAAATCCCTGTGGCTGTTAGGCTAAGAGCCATCGCAGCATATACTGGAGATGGATAAAAAGCTTTCGCCAGAATCCAAACACAGTGTTTGGGATTTAAACCAGGGCTATCTCTATTTTCCAGGAAAATAGAAATTCCATTTCTCATAAAAGATTATGGTACTTAACAACAGTTTGGGGAAAGTGCTTGCACTTATGTCTGGGCAGGATGGAATTAATGCACTTTTCCCTATTCCTCCTGCTAAGTACAACTAAGAGTCCTGGGCATTTATAAAGCAAAGAGAAGACTGGGAAAAATGGAGATAAGAATGCAGACCAGCATGACATCTTGGGACCCAAGAAGGCATGCTGTGTGTTCCTAGGGTTTTATTTTCTTCACCTATCCTGTACTGAATACCAGGAAAGCCTATAACCCAAGAAACAACGGGGACCATAAAAAGGCCCTCAAGAAAAGCCTGTTCTTTCTAGCCAGATAGATAGCTGAGCAAGACAGAAAACTTGTAGCCACGACCCACCTTATTCCAGCCAAACATCTCAGGAAAACCTGCATCCCATCCCCACCCCTGCCAGCAAGATCCAAGAAGGAAGCCTAGACTGCCATCCTTGCCAGACTCTACTGAGATGGCCTGCTAGAACAAGATTTTAGGACTGAGAGTTTTCTAATATAATTAATACACACAACATCCACGACACAACAGGAAATCACTCATCATGCTAAGAGCCAGGAATATGTCATTGCGAATGAGAAGATAATCAACAGATGCTCAACAGTGAGATGACACAGACATTAGAATTATCTGACAAGGATTTTTAAGTGGCCACCATAAAAATGCTTCTATGGACAATTATAATCATGCTTGAAGCAAATGAAAAGATAGAAAGCCTCTGCGAGGAAATCGAAGATGGGACAAAGAGCCACATGGAAACTTTAGAACTGAAAAATAGGAAATTAAAAATTAAAAATTCAATGAAAAGGACAGAGAAAAAGAGTCAGTGAATATGGAGACAGACAATATAAATTAAACAGTCCAAAAAATAGACTGGAAGGGGGGGAAAAGAAACAGCTTGAGAGACTTGTGGGACTATAACAAAAGATTGAAAATTTGTGTCATCAGAGTTCCAGAGGGGAAAGGGGGTTAAGCACTGAAAAAGGAATCAAAGAGATTATATCTGAAATTTTACCAAATTTTCCAAAAGAAATAAACCCACAGATTCAACAAGCTAGATGAGTAGGACAAACCCAAAGAAATCTCTCCCCTGACACATCATAATTAAACTTCAAATGCAATACTTGATCTCTAGGTCATGAGTTCAAGCCCAACTGCTAGGGGTAGAAATTACTTTTAAAAAATGAAATTAAATAAATACTTAGTTGAACTTCTGAAAACTTAAGACAAGGAAAAAATTCTTGAAAGCGGCAAAAGGGAAATATCATTTGAACAGCAGGAGATTCTTCATCAGAAACCGTGAAGGGGCGCCTGGGTGGCTTAGTGGATTAAGCCTCTGCCTTCAGCTCAGCTCATGATCCCGAGGTCCTGGGATCGAGCTCCACATCGGGCTCTCTGCTCAGCAGGGAGCCTGCTTCCCCCTCTCTCTCTGCCTGCCTCTCTGCCTGCTTGTGATCTCTGTCCATCAAATAAATTAAAGAAAGAAAAAGAAAAAAAGAAAAGAAACCATGAAGATGAGAAGAAAGTGACAGGAAAGATTTGAAATGATGAAGGAAAAAAAAGAAAGAAAAAAAAAACTGTCAATGCCAATTTTTATATCTGGCAAAAATACCCTTTAGGAATGAATGGGAGGGGTGCCTGGGTGGCCCAGTCAGTTAAGTGCCAGACTCTTAATTTCAGCTCAGGTGATGATGTCAGTGTTTGCAAGATCAAGCCCTGCCTGGGGCTTGCGCTGGTCATGGAGCCTACTTCAGATTCTCTCACGCCCCACCTCCCCCAGCTCCTTCTGCCCCTCCCCCCTCCTCTCTCCCCCTTTCCCTCTGCTCCTCCCTGCCACATCTCTCTAAAATAAATAAAAAGCTTTTTAAAAAAAATGGTTAAAATGAAATGTTTATGTTATATACAGTTTTACCACAATTTTAAAAATGTGATATTCCCCCAAACCACTGAACTATACACTTGAAATGGGTGCATTCTCTGACTGTGAATTATATCTCAATAAAGCTGTCAAGAGAGAATGAAAGACAGGCAGGAAGGAGGGAAGGGGAAAGTGAATGACCGAGAGACAGGTAAGAGCGATTTTTCACTAGAGATCTTTTTGTTCCCTTTTAATTTTGTACTATGTTGCACATTTTACATTTTCAAAAAGTACTTTACATACTTTGGAAATAAAAACATGCAAGGCCCCTTGTTCATAAACTAAGAATTTAAGGACGTTGACAGCAGAGCGTGAAATCAAGTGTGGGCTGCTCTGTATGGGGGGCTCTTAATCTCTTCCTTTATCTTTTCTTGCTAAAATCTACATTCTCCCCTCCCAAAATTATACATTTGGGTTGATCAAAAATACCAATAAACATTTTGCTCATTTCTCTTTCCACCCCCATGGGGAAAACAGAAGGGCTGTGGGCTGTGATGCCCACAGCAGGAACCTCGGCCACCTCCGCTCCTCACAAGCCTCACTGCCCCAGGGAACTGGCCCATGGCACCCCCGACCTGAATGTCCCTGAGAGTCCCTCTCAGTAACAGAGCATGTGCTGAGCACGCACTGTGGGGCCCGTGCTGAGGACCTGCATGTGCCATCCTGCTCAGACCTCACCTCTGCTCAGTTTGCAGGTGAGGAATCTAAGGTCCAAAGTCACAGAGGATACAAACCTGCACACTCTTAACCCCTGGCCAGATCCACAAGGGACAGCCTGTCCCAGGCCAGCAGCACTCGTCACTGAGTGCAGCTGGCAGGGTGATGGGGCATGTACACATTCTGGGACCCTGCCATCCAGGGTCTGCTGGAGAGGATGGGGCCCCCACCTGGTGGGGGCCACCTGCCAGGGAACTCTCATGCACCCTGGATGATCAGATTTTCCCCTTTTACAGAAGATGCTGGAAATTCACATTTGGGAGGGAGGTGGGGGAGCTCTGCACCATGTTTTCCAGAGTTGGCTCACATGAAAACAAATGCACCTGAGTCCTGTCCCCACTCACAAGCCACAGCTAGTGATGCCCACCCCCCCTGCCTCCCTCCTTCCCTTTCTCCATCTCCAGCCTCCTCTGAGCACCCTTGGCCAAGCTGGGGATGCCCCATGTGGACATCCGATCGCAGGCCTAAGGTGTGCAGGCCAAATCCAGGAGGGCATGAATGGGGACTCGGGCCCACCTCCCAGCTGCAGGATTGGGCCCCTCCTCACTTGGTGATGGTAAGCAGCGTGGCCTGGGATGTAATATCCCAGATCTTGATGCTTTTGTCCAGTGAGACAGAAGCCACCTTCTGGCTGTCGGGGTCAAAGCAGCATGCTGTGAGAGACCGGTTGTGATGATCTGAGACACAGGAAAAGCAAGTCATTACCTAGCATTCCACGGGCCTCCCGGGGGGCAGCAACCATATCACAGAAACACAATTCCTGTTTCACAAGGCACACTACACTCGCACAAACATTTCCCGGGTGCCGACCGTGTGCTGGGCTAAGGCTGGCCCAGCCCAGAAAGGTTGAGGAGGGACCTTAAAAGTTAGCGGGGGAACCAGAATGGGAAGAGGGCCTCCAGAAGAAGGAACGGCAGGTGTGAAGGCCTGAAAGTGGGACACAGCATGGAGAAACGAGGTGTGCAGCTAGAAGCTGGAGGCTGAGGACAGGAAGAGGATGAAGTGACCCGGGAAGGAGAGAGGTATAGCCAGGGGACAGCGCCCACGTGCCAGGTCTGCGCTCAGCCAACAGAAACACAAGGTACACATGGGAAGTAGGCGTGGGGTGTGCAAACGCTCCTGCGAGGTCAGGAAAGCCACCCAGCAATGTGTTGTTAAGATCAGACACCCCAGTGAAGGAGACAGGACGCAGGGAGCTGCCTTTCACTTCTTAACTTTATATGCTTATCACATTTGTTACAATGATTACATTTTTTTTATTATTTTACTTTGAGATAACCGTCAATAAGCATGCGGTTGTCAAGAATAAGAAAGGGAGATCCTGTGTGCCCATCTCCCAGTTTCCCCCAATAGAAACAGCTTGTATAACTGCCATACCATATCACAACCAGAAAACTGGCATCTGATGCGTATTATCTTTATAATTGAAAAATACAGGTAAAAATGTTATGAAGGTAGAGCCTCCATTCAAGGAAAGGCTGGGCTTTAACTGTCCACGTGGCACTGGACCAGAACACTGTTTCATCTATGACAAGCTTGGGGCTAATCCTGTCATTAGCCTGAACCGATGAGACTCGGGCCAGGTCTTAGCCGCTGGTGTTTTGTCAGTGAGGGTCCCATCTCTCATTAGGTGGCTCGTTACAGCCTCAACAAAAAGGGCCACAGAAAGCCACTGTTGGTCAGGAGACAAGAGGCTGGTACCGCAGCAGACAGAACAGAGCAGGGCGCCCCTGCAAACTCACTTTTTTTTTTTTTAAAGATTTTATTTATTTGACAGACAGAGATCACAAGCAGGCAGAGAGGCAGGCAGAGAGAGAGGGGGGAAGCAGGCTCCCTGCTGAGCAGAGAGCCCGATGCGGGGCTCGATCCCAGGACCCTGAGATCATGACCTGAGCCGAAGGCAGAGGCTTTAACCCACTGAGCCAACCAGGCACCCCGCAAACTCACTTTTGATGTATGACACGGTGGTGGCGTTTTCTACATCCATTATACAGATGGCCCGGTCCACGTCCAAGGCTGAGACCACATATTTGCCATCAGGAGAAACCTTGCAGGAGGCTATGAAGGTTTCATAATTGATCTTCCACTGAATAGGGCAACAATCAAAAGGTGATTTTCTCTCTAGCCCCTCGGTCCAGTAGAACTTTCTTGGATGACAGAAAATGTTCCATCGATGCACTGTCCAATACATTAACTAGTCTCTGGCCACACGGGGCCATGGGGTACTTGCAATGGGCTGGTGCAAACAAGGAAGTGAATTTTAAATTTGGGTTGGTTTTAATTAATTAAATTAATCAATGTAATTAATGACTCTGTGTCCAGGACAGATGGACAAAGATAGGTACAGCATCTAGTGGAACTGGCCACAAGGCTCTCCTAATGGCCAACTTTTGTCCTACTCAGTAGGGTAGGCAAGTGTTTATTAAGTGTCTGCCCTGTGCCTCGCACCATTGACAAGACACCACAGCCCAGCCCCTCAGGCCTCTCACATTTCCTCAGGAGAGGCTGGAAGCAAACCTCAAGAAGGGGACAATGAGCCACTCAACATTCTAGGAAAGGAGGTCCTCTCTGTACGTTATAAAAGATGGTATTGCCACCATGACAGTCATAAAATACACCCACAAATTCTCTGACAGTCTTCCTTCCAAAAGGTAGAGCCTAATTCCCCACCCCCTGAGCCTGGGCTGGACTCATGTCCAATAAACAGAATATGGCAGAAGTGACAGTGTGGGACCAGGTCATAAAGGAAACCATGCCTTCCCCCTTGCTCTGTCTTGGATCACTCACTCTGGGGGAGTGAACTGCCATGTCCTGAGGACGCTCAAGCAGCCCTACGGGGGAGAGCGACTGAGGGCTCCCGACCAAAACCATGTGAGGGCGCCATCTTGGAAGGGGAGCCTTCGGCCCCAGTTGAGCCTTCAGATGACTGTAAACCCTGGTGACCTCTGAACTGTGACCTCATAAGAAACCTGAACCAGAACCACCCAGCTAAGCTGCTCCTAGATTTCTGTCAGAAAGTGGGAGATAATAAGCATTTGTTGTTTCAAGCTGCTAAGTTTCAGGCTAATTTGTCAAACAGGGGTGGATAACTAATTCAGTTAGTTGGCAAGTGGCACGGATCGCTGGTGCACCAAGAATAAATCAAAGCACTAACAAGATGTTTAAAGAAGCAAAAGAAAAGCATCTCAAACAGCAAAACTGGCTGGAGACAAGAGCAGGAAATGTACAAGAGAAGAAACAAACATTTGGAATAAACGCTCCAAGTCGGGAGTGATCAACGCTAGTCTCATTTTTCCACCAACCCAAGTGGCTAAAAGGTTTTAAAAACCATGCTGTCTGGCTAGTAAGATAGTGAGTGCCCCTCCAGTGCAGTGGAGAGGAGCTGGCACACATGTCCAGAGGATAATTTTTAAAAGGCCATGTTTCTACACCAAATTAGCAGTAAAATCCAGCTCTATTTCCTTAAAAGTATTGCATCGTGTGTATAAAAAATTACACACCAAGTTTCCCCTTCGTAGTGTCGCTTATGATAGAGAAATGTAAAAACAGCCTTAGTGTCCTATACCACGGAATAGTGCAACACAGCCTGACTTATCCACGCCATGGAATCCACGTGTCCATGAGAAAGGATGACGTCAGTGTGTCCTTACCCACCATTTATTTTTGAGGGAAAAAAAAAAAGTCAAGATCCAGAAGGTACGCACAGAGTGATGACACTTTGCTAACAACATAATCACCTGTTCGTCTGGAAATGTGTGCGGACACAGGAGAAGTGATGTCAAGGTATTAAATATAATGTCTGGGATGTTTACGGTGAATCTAAGTGGATCTCTGCACGGAGAAGAAAAAAGGGGCAAAGGGAAGGTGACGAGCTCCCCGGGGAGCCCCTTTGGCAGGGCGGGGCGGCAGGGGCACCGGACAAAGAGGGAGGGAGTTTCAGGCTGGTTCGGATGGATGGATGGCGGCCCATCCAAGCTCCCCAGAACACTCGTGTTTTCACCATGTGGCCTTTGTCCCATGGCCTCAGCTCTACTTCTGGCCCCATCAAATCCCAACACCCCCATGGGGGAGAGAGACTTTTCCTGCACAGTCCCCTTAGCCTGGAATGCCATGTCCCATTTTCCCCCACTCCCCCTCGTTGTGTATCCAAACCCTTCCCATCCTTCCAGCAAAAGCCCTCCTCTGCCTGCCCCAAGAAGCTTTCCTTCCCCAATGCGCTCCCCCCCGCCATCACCTGGTGTCCCTGAGAAAATTCTCCTTTTCTGAAAGACTGGTTTCCCATCCCATCCCAGCCTCCACCCCCCAAGGAGTCCCTCCCAGGCCCAGTGAAGGGCCTGTGCTGCCGCGCTGGGAGGGCCACACTCACCAGCAGCTTGCCTGTCTCAAGGTCCCAAGCCTTCACCGCTTTGTCGTAGGACGCTGTGATAATTCTGCCAAGAAAATGACCCAGACAGTTACAGCTATGAGCTCTATGAAAAAAAAATACATAGAAAATTCTTCATAGAAAATGTAACTTCGGACCAAGATTGCAAGTAATGCCTGAATCTTTCTCAAGATGTTCCCTGAGCCCCTTCCATGACCTCCCTGGAACCAGATGGAACCCCACGCCAGGCACTGCACACTCTTCCTCAGTCCCTCAGCCACCCAGATACGTTCCTCCATCTTCAGGGCATTAAAGGGACTGTGTCTTCTCTCCTGTGGATGACGGTCTTCTTCTGAGGGGACACCTACCACGGACCACCCCTTTCCTTCTCTGCTCACGGGGCTGTCTTTTTACAGAAACACTCTGACGGCTCACTTCATTCTAAAATGTTTTCTTGGACATTTAGCAACATAACATAAATGTACCTTTGTCCATACTCATATACATGTGCCTCTCTCCCGTGGCACGTTTCTGTGACAATCCGTGTGGATGTCATGTGTGGAAGATGGATTCCCGTGCGAGTTTTTACTGGCTTTGTAGCTGCTGCCCGGGGTACAGGCAAATCTATTTTAAAGCAAAGCCCCTTGGGACACTGGGTGGCTTAGTCAGTTTAGCATCTCTCTTTGGCTCAGGTCATGATCCCAGAGTCTAGGATCAAGTCCCGCATCGGGCGTCCTGCTCAGCAGGGAACCTGCTTCTCCCTCTGCCTGCCTTCTCTTACTCTCTGTCTCTGTCAAACATATGAATAAAATCTTTTTTTAAACAGCACCTTGTGTTTTATTCATTTTTTAAAAATTATTATATTTATTTATTTGTCAGAGAAAGAGAGAGGGCACGAGCGAACAAAAGCAGGGCGAGCGGCAGGCAGAGGGAGAAGCAGGCTCCCCGCTGAGCAAGGAGCCCGATGCGGTACTCGATCCCAGGACCCTGGGATCAGGGCCTGAGCAGACGCTTAACCGACTGAGCCACCCAGGCATCCCAGCCCCTTGTATTTTAAAGGCCATCTCGTGTCCTGGCCTCCGTTTTCCCTGTGAGATGCCACCTAGGACTCAGTCCTCATGGCCCCCTGAAGCTTCAGCGGGCCACGGGTGTGACCACGGAAAAGCACCTCTGTGAGGGAAACGCAGACTGGCTTTGTCTGAGCCACCACACACACTGTCTTTTCAGTACTTTTTCCAAGAGTGGCCATATCCCCTGGACCCTCACAGCAGAACACGGAAACTGTGGCGACAGAGGTGGGAGAGGGGGAACGTAGCTGCCAAGAGGACAGAGCAATGTCCCTGGCGTGCTGCACACGGGCTTGCACCCCCACTCCACCTGTCCAGTGCCAGACGAGGGAAAGGTCACCTTCTGCTGTCAGCCGTCACGCTGCACTCCAAGACAGGAGCTTTGGGCTTATGATCGAAATCCCGAATAACGAAGCCATCCACAGCATCCTCAAACCAACAGGAGAGAGGGAGAGAGAGAGAGAGGTCGCTGAGCTGCTGCTGGACGTCGTGCACTGAGCTCGACAGCAGCCCTGAGCTTGTCCACAACAGCAAAGTGGGACAGCCCCTGGTCCCATGCCCCACACCCCACTCCAAAGGGCAAAAGAACTTTCCAGCCTCTCCCCAGAGCAGCAAGGGCACCCTGCCCATCACCCCCCCGCCCATGATGTCCCTGGAGAACACCCCCTCCCCTGCACAGGCACAAGACCCAAACAGCCCCTCTGGGGGGCAGGGCCGGAGACAATTTCCTCCATCTCTACTGGCCCAAGGGGCTTGGCAGAATCTCACAAGACATTTTAAAAACTTGTTAAAAGTTCACACCCTTTGACCCAGCAGGGCTACTCTGCGTGGTCTCTCCTAATAGGCAGAACTGTGGTCAAAGACTTGTGCGGAAAAAGTTCATCGGGCGTTAGAGGGGATGGCGGGCACACCGGCCCGGGCCACCCCAAGGGAGCAGTTAAATGAGTTTCAGCATGCCAACGGTGGGTGCCAGCCACGATTAGCAAGCCGGCAGTTGGAGAATACGATGAGATCGAAGCCAGTCAATAACTCAAGAACAGGGAGAGAAGAAAAAGGGCGCCGAAGCGAAAAGCACCCGTTGTGGCAGAGGTGAAATATTTTCAGTTAGAAACCCGCCAGGAACTTTTCAGGATGAGCTGCAGGGGAAAGTCCCCGTGAAAAACAGATTAATGGTAAAGCAATGAATTCCTAGAAAGGTGGTAGGTTGCTAGGTGAAAATACGGAGCTCGGGAGCCTCTGGGCTGATGGGGGGCAGGACTGGGACAGTACTTCCTGATGGGCAGAGCCCACTGTGCGTTGAGAGCCCAAGTCAAGGGGCGCCTGCGTGGCTCAGTTGGTTCAGCATCTGCCTTCAACTCAGGTCATGATCCCAGGGTCCTGGAATTGAGTCCTGCATGGGCTCCCTCCCTCTGCCTGCTGCTCTCCCTGTTTGTGCTCGCTCGTTCTCTGACAAAGAAATAACTAAAACCTTAAGAAAAAAAAAAAAGAGCCCAAGTCGTGCTGGGGGGTAAAGAACCCTATGTCAGGGGTCCCCAAGACCACCCCCAGGCTCAGTGATTCTCCAGGACCCCCACAGGGCCCTGCAGATAGTCAGACTCACAGCTAAGATTTACTACAGCAAAGGACACAAAGCAAAATCAGCAAAGGGGAAGGAGCCTGGGGCGGAGACCAGGGCAAGCCTCCAAGAGTCTCTCCCACTGGGTCGGACACACGGGACACGCCTAATTCCTCCACCAACCCCACTGTGGTAACACATGTGATGTGTTGTCTATCTAGGAGACATGCCTGAGCCTTGGGGCCCGGGGTTTGGGGGGGATTCTCTAGCATACACCAAAATCCAGACTCCCAGAAGGAAAGCAGGTGCTTGGCACAAACTATGGCTTATGCCAACAGTCTGGGTACCCTGAGCTCTCTTTATCACTTAGTGGATTGCAGGACACCATGGGCCAGTCCGGCTCCCAGATGCCGGCCAAGGCCAGCCTCGCAGGCAGTCTCACACCTGCCATGTGAACCCTATTCTGCACAGACCCAGGCCCTCAATTCCCTCTCCGTTAAGACCTCAAATAGTGGGGGGTCGTGTATGGGGAACCCAGCAGGCCCTAATCAGAGGCACGGAGAGACAGCAGGAGTCCAAAGAGGACCTCACCAGGACAGGACAAGCTGTAAGCCTGGACTCACAAGTCTACTAGCTCGGGATGAGAGAACGGGTCTAGGCAGCCTGCGTGCGATCGATCCAGCCTCCCTGGCTGGTGCGTGACTCCAGCACAAACATGGAACGAAGAAAACGATCACTGTGGGGCCTGGGACTCCCGTCTTTGCAAAGTCCCCGGTCAGGCTAAGGGCAGCCCTGTGCCCCGCAGGGTCCATGTGCAGCTTCAGCCTTTGATAGTGACACCTGCTGGCCAGGACAAGGAACAGCACCCGCAGACGGAGAACCCTGTTGGAACAGGTGCACTGCTGTGAAGAGAATCCTTCCGCGAGAGGCAGATGGCAAACAAGCCAGATTTTGTTAGGGAAATCCAAAGCAGTGGAAATGTCTCTGTTTCGTACTGAATGTTTCTTGAAGTAAATAAGCGCCCTCTTCACCTGGCACTGGGAGGCAAGAACCCCTCTGCGGACTCAGATAATTGACTCAGATAAATCAAGGCGGGGCAGGGGGAAGGAGACTGGTCAGAGTTTAAATGAAGGGAAAAGAGGGGCTTTTTTTCCCCAGTAAATAGTTGGAAAATAGGGAAATGTGACAATACCCACAGCTTAAGTTTGAAACGGTTATATAAACAGTGTTTCTTAATGGTCTCAATTTCGTAAACATGGGTATACATGTGGAAACAAGAAAAAAATAAACTTATATTCCAACATTCTCGTAGCACTTAACTCCAGAGTTGTGAAATGATGGTTCTTGTTTTTCTTCTGAGTTGTGAGAAAAACCACCAAAGTTGCTATTTCTTAATGACTGGAAAGAGGCATGCCAATACATTAGAGGGATACTGGATTAACAATGATTTTTCCCAGGGCACCTGTGTGGCTCAGTTGGTTAAGCATTTGACCCTTGGTTTCGGCTCAGGTCATGATCTCACAATTGTGAGACTGAGCCCCACTTCAGGCTCCGCACTCAGCACAGAATCTGCTTGAGATTCTCTCTCTCCCTCTCCCTCTGCCCCTCTGTCCCCCCACCCTCTCTTTCTCTCTCTCAAAAAAAAATGATTTTTCCCCCAGCTTCTTCATACATGTATGGACTTTGCAAACTATTCACAATGGTCCACAGTGAGAATGAAGGGAGCTTCCAAAAGATTAAATCAGATGCTTGGGTTCTGGATGGGGCCCAAGAGGAGGGATAGGAGATGGGAGGTGACAGGAGTGGGGAGAGGAGGGAGAAGCAGGGGGACATTTTGGCAACAGGAGAAGGCAGTGTACTGGGCAATGGCAGAGAGGGCTCAGGAATGGCAGCAGCACTGGGGCAGGGAGAGCCATGGGAGGAGCCATTCAAAGGGCAAAGGTGAGGAAAAGAGAACTAGGAAGAGGAAAGAGGACTTCTTGGAGGAGGTGTCAGTGGGGCTAGCCAAGGCAGACAACTGGTGACTCTGGTGGGGGCCAGGGATCGGGGCATGATGGGAAGCACAGGGAGAGACCTGGGGAAATTGGCAGAAGCAGGCAAGGCCATGAGCAAGGCTGGTATTGGGACACTGGGACAGGCTGAAGCGACTGTATCTTGGATACACTGGTGTGGGCCAGGCACCCGGCCACTATGCAGAACCAGGGACATCTCAGTGGATGGTCTCTAATCTTGGGACAACAAGAGAAAACAAGTGGATCTCCCCTTTTAGAGACAAGAAGCTTTTGGCCCCAGAACAGGCAGATCTCCCCTTTTAGAGACTTTTGGCCCAAAAGGGAGTCCTTCCACTAGTTCAAAAGGTGAGAAGAATGTGTGTGTGGGGGCGGAGCTGAGCTGGCCAAGCATGATGCACACTTGTAAGCTGTTCTCCCCCTCACGTGGGTGATGACAACCCACAGAGCCCCTCGCCCCTGGCTTCTCAGTCTCCCCAGAGGGTTGGGAAAGACTTTAAGACTCTCAGAGGAACCGAAAGGGTTCCCAGAAGGAGCTCATGGGCCGCAGCCGAGGTGAGGAATGGATGCCTGTTGGGGCCGGGCATGGGCCAGGCAGGCCCTGGGGTAGTCCCAGCACGAGCTGGACCAGGAGAGTTTCAGGGAGGGCCAGGAGGTCACGTGACCAGAGTCACACAGCTGAATAACTTGGACCATCCCCAAACCCTCCTGCCTCATCTGCCTGGCCTTGGTACCCACTGATGACCCAGAAGATGACCAGTGTGGTCATCTGGAAGGCGAGGAGCTATCCTTCACCTGATTACCCACACCAGAACCCAGGAACCAGCCTAGATTCCTTTCTATCCCCTCTCGCCCCAGAAGCCAGTGGAGGTGGCACACAGTTATCTGTGGCCTGGCCCCTGAGGGCCAATGCCATCCCCTATCCCCGCTCCCTCATCCTCCTCACTGACCAGCAATACCTCCAGAGAGGACTTCCAGCACCTGCTGGCTATGCCCAGAGGCTTTGAAAGAGTTCTCGGTGGCCACATCTCTGCAACCTCATCTAACCATCTCACATCCCTGTTCTTCGTGCCGCTTCCGGAACGTTGGGGCACTGAGCCATACTCAAGCCTGCCCCTCCCAACCAGCCCTCATGGACAGGTCCCCGGCCTGGCCATTTTTCTGTCCTCTGTGACCACCTAGGCCTGGCCATACCAACCCTGTGAATGGAAGTGAATTTTCCAAATGAGAAGGAGACCCAAAGAGAGGCCACAGGTCAGAGATCCCAGGCACAGTGGAAACTGTCCAACAGTAGGTGGGGCAGGGGGCAGAGTCCCACCAGGGGTCCCCATCCCCCATTCCTACTGTTTCCAAATCAACAGGCCGCCAGCAACCGCTTTAAATTCATCTCACTCCAAGGGCTTGACACTAGGGTTGAACCCTCACCTGTCTTCTCCTTCTGCATTTTGCTCAGAAAGTTCTCTCCAAGTCTTTGGGATTCTTCAGCATCTGGAAACTCTCCATAAGATGGGGCCCAGCTTCTCTCCCCTCCTGGGACGTTCTCATCCCACCCACACCAGGCCACCTACCCACAGCTTCAGGGTACTGTCATGGGAACAGCTGAGGAACTTCGTGTCATCCACACAGAAGCTACAGGAGCTCACAAGGTCCTTGTGTCCCCTCAGAATTTTAAATGGGATCTGAAAAAAGAGAGATATTGAATGAGTGCAGCAGGTTACAAAATATGAATTAATAACAAAAAATCCATCATTTTTCTATACAACTGGAAAAAAAGCACTAAAAAATTCCATTAAAGGCATCAGAATAGGAATACATGTAATTAAAAAATACAAGTGTAAAACTTATACTCTGAAAATCACAGAACATTGTTGGAAGAAATTTTAGAAGACACAGAGACATGAGAAAGCAGCCCATATTCAAGGATTAGCTATTAGCTTACTATTGTCAAGATGAGAATACCTTCCAAGATGATCGACAGAGTCAGCAGTGTCCCCTCAAGATCCCAGCTGACCTCCTTTCCAAAACAGACAAGCTGATCCGAAAACTTATATGCACGCTCAAGGACAGCAAAATAGCCAAAACACTCCTGGAAAAGAACGAAGGTGGAGTACTCACAATTCCCAATTTCAAACCTCATCACCTAAAAAAAAAGTGACCATAATCAAGACACAGGAGTTACTGGCCTAAGAACAGACATAGGAATGGGTGGAACAGAGTTGGGAATCCAGAAATAAGCCCTCATGTTTTAGGTCACTTGCTTCCTTAACAAGGGGGCCAAGTGATTGAAAATGGAGAGATTTGTCTTTTCAACAGATCGTGTTGAGACAAATAAAATCCACCTGCGAAAGAATGAAGTTGGACTGTTGCCTCACGCCATCTACAAAGACTAACTCAAGATGGATCAAAGCTCTCAATGTGAGAACTAAAACCACGAGACTCTTAGATGCACACATAGTTGTAAATCTCCGGGAACTCCTGTTAGACAGTGTTTCCTCAGCTCCCACGTCACGTGCACAGGCAGCGGCAGCAGCAACAATGTGAAACTGGGCATTATCGAAATTAAAAACCTTGCCCTTCGGAGGACACTGTCAGGAAGGTGACAAAACAGCCCACACAGTGGAAGAAAACTTTTGGAAATCGTTTATCAGATGAGACTTGTATCTAGAATACAGAAAGAACGCTCAAAACTCAACAATAAAAAAAAAGAAACAACCTGATTTTAAAATAGGCAAAACATCGGAATAGGCATTTCTCCAAAGAAGGTATGTTAATAAGCTCTAAGCACATGGAAATGTGGTCAACATCATTAGCTATTATGAAAATATAAATCAATTGTAAATTGAGGGGCACCTGGGTGGCTCAGTCTGTTAAGCATCTGGTTTTGGCTCAGGTCATGATATTGGGGTCCTGGGATCCAGCCCCAGTTTGGGCTCCCTGCTTGGCAGGGAGTCTGCTTCTCCCTCTCCCTCTGCCCCTCCCTCCATCCAAGCTCACGTGTTCTGTCTCTTTCTCAAATAAATAAAATCTTAAAGGGGAAAAAAAGACCATATTGAGATACACTTCATATCCACCATATCCACTAGGATGTTACAGTAAAAAAGTCAGATAATAACAAGTGTTGGTGAGAATGTGGAGGACTCAAACTCTCACACATGGCTGGTGGGAATCCAAATGGTGCCGTTCCTTTGGAACACAGTTCAGGAATTCCTCAAAAAGTTAAAACGTATGTATTCATATATGATCCAGCAGCTTCACTTCTAAGTGTACACCTAACAGAAATGAAAACATGTCCACACAAAAATTTGAAAATAGATACTCACAGCAGTATTATTTGGAATAATAAAATAAATGGAAACCATTAGAATATCCATCCACTGATGAACGTAAAATGAGACATTCCCACAATGAAATATGACTAAGCAATATGACAGGAGGGAAGGACATCTGATTTCTGGGCTGCCATGCGAGAAGCTTGGAAGCCACTGCTCCATTTGCACAACTAATTAAAAGCTGAGCAAACTGAGAAATCAACAACTCTTCCTAGATTCATGACTGCTGCCCTCAAAATTGGAGAAATGGGCAAAAACAAAGAATCCCATATTATAGGACAGAAATCCAAGAGCAGCGACCTCCATGGGAACCAGGCCCAGGATCGGGAAACCTGACCTGTAACAGACAAGTTGCTGGGAGTGCAGCATGGATAACGTTGAGAGTTAAAAACTCCAGGGGGACCCAGCCATGAGGGCCCTCACTCACATTCATATTAGCGTTATCTCCAGTGGCAGACCTGGTCCTCACAGTGGCTGGAAGGGGGGGTAAAGAATTGCTTTGAAATATTCCATGCAGCATTATCAAAGCCTACCTGACCTGGGGAAAGGGAAATATTCAACCCTTGCCAGCTCTAGCTGTACACATAGAGGGAGGGAAATACCCAGCTCCCAGCCGCTCTAGCCATCCAATCCCACCTAACCTCGGGGCGGGGGGGGGGGGAGGAAGTGCAGACTGAAAAGCACCCATGACATTCACAAGCCTGAGGCAGAGACCCACTGAAAGACTGAGTCGTAGTCATAGGACTGTAGACTTCTTCTCTGCCCATTACATGGTAGCATCACGTTACTGAAGGCTTATTTACAGCTGTTCCTTTTACCCAATATATTATGTCTGGATATCAAGAAAAAAAAATGCAATCCAAAGAGGCAGAAAACATAGCTTGAAGAGAAAGCACAAACCTAAAAACAAAACCAGACCCAGATGTGCCAAGGATGTTGGAATTATCAGACCAGGAACTTAAACACCTGTGGTTAATATGCTAAGGGCTCTAAGAAATGTAGTAGACAGCACGCAATGTAAGCAGAGATGGAAATTCGAAGATAGAACCAAACAGAAATGCTATCGATCAAAAACACCATAACAGATCAAGAGTATCTTTGATGTGTTCATTATTAGACTAGACATGTCTGAGGAGAGACTCTCTGGGATTGAGGATATATCAATAGAAACCTTCAAAACTGAAAAGCAATGAGAAAAAAAAAACACTTAAAGAAATGAAACAGAATTTGCCAGAACCAGGGGAGAACTACAACAGTGTAATATATGCACAATGAAAATACCAGAAGGAGATGATAGAATGGAAGAGAAATATTTGAAACAATAATGAATGAAAAGCCCCCCCAAATTAATTTCAAATGCCAAACCTCAGATCTAGGAAGCCCAGAGAACATGGAACAGGATAAATGCAACAAACAAACAAACAAACAAAACCCCACTATACCTAGGCATATCATTTTAAAGATCCAGAAAATTTAAGATAAAAGGACATTGCTGAAAGCAGCTAGAGGAAAATCATGTCTTGCCTATAAAGGAGCAAAGATAAGAATCACATCCACCCTCTCAGAAACCATGCAACCAAGAAGAGACTATAGTGAAATATTTAAAGTATTAGGAGGGGAAAATTCCACCAACCTAGAAATTTGTATCCTGTGAAATTATCCTTCAAAAGTGAAGGACAAATACTTTCTCAGACAAAGAAAAATTGGGGAAACTTTGATACCAATAGTCTGTCTTGCAAGAAATGTCAACTTTTCTTTAGCGAGGAGGAAAATGATATAGGTGAGAAACTCAGATCTACACAAAGCAAGGAAAGCACCAAAGAAGGAATAAGTGAAGGTAAAATAAAAACTTTGTTCTTATTCTTAATTGATCTAAGTTTGTTCAAAATAATAATAGCATAATGTAAAAAAAGCAACAATGTATTATATATGATTGATATATTATATATAGTCTTATAAGAGCAATATATTATATGTTATATAATTAACATCTGATTATGTGTATATTATATATGTATATGTATATGTGTATATATATATATACACACACACACATATATAATGAGTGACAGCAATGATACAGTGGACATGAGGGAGGACTTCGAAATATTTTGTTATTTTAAGTTACTGACACTACCCAGGAGTGGTATAGTGTTGTTTGAAAGTGGACTTGGATTAACGGCAAATGTATATTGCAAATTCTTGGGCAACCACTGAGAAAAGAAAAAAAAGTGTATCTGATATGCTAAGAAAGGAGAGAAAATGGAATCACATTGGATGCTCAGTTAAAGCCTCAAAAGCTAGAAGAGTGGAAGACAAAAATAGGAACAATAAACAAAGGCAACAAATAGAAAACAGTAACAAATATGGCGGATATTCATCCAACTAGATCAATAATCACTTTGAATGGTCTGAATGTACCAATTAAGAGAGAGATTGTCAGAGTGGATGAAAAAATAGGACCCAATGATATATTGTCTACAAGAAACTCACTTTAGATATAAAGACACATTCAGATTAAAAGCAGGAGCGTCTGGGTGGCTCAGTTGGTTAAGCATCTGACTCTTGATTTCGGCTCAGGTCACGATCTCAGGGTCATGAGATCGAGCCCCTCGTCATGTTCCACACTCAGCAGGGAGTTTACTTGAGGTTCTCTCTCTGCCCCTTCCCCCCCACTTTCACTTGTTCTCTCTCTCACTCTTTTAAAAAAAAAAATGTAAAAGGATGGGGGAGACTGGGTGGCTCAGTCAGATAAGTGTTGACTCCTGATTTCAGATCAGGTCATGATCTCAGGATTGTGAGATCAAGCCCCATGCCAGGCTTTATGCTGGGTTTGGAGCCTGCTTAAGATTCTCTCTTTCCAGGGGCACCTGGTGGCTCAGTTGTTAAGTGTCTGCCTTCAGCTCAGGTCATGATCCCAGGGTTCTGGGATCGAGCTCCGCATGGAGCCCCGCATCGGGCTCCCTGCTCAGCGGGAAGCCTGCTTCTCCCTCTCCCACTTCCTCTGCTTCTGTTTCCTCTCTTATTGTGTCTCTCTCTGTCAATTAAATAAATAAAATCTTTAAAAAATAAAAAAGGATTCTCTTTTTCCCTCTGCTCCTACTCCTCTCTCTTTTTAAAAGAAAAAAAAAAAAAGGTAAATGGGTGGAGGAAAAATAGACCATACTAACCCTAATCGAAAGAAAGCAAGACTAGCTATATTAACTTCAGATGGAGGAGACTTCACAGTGAGAAAAGTTATCAGGGGTAAAAGGGGGCTTTCATAATGACAAAGTGGCCAGTTCTCCAAGAAGATATAATAACCCTTAACATATATGTGCCTAACACCAGAGCACCAAAAATGTTAGGCA